CGCCCCCCAGGCCCCCGGGAAGGAGGCCAGCAGCGTGTGGGGCCTGATGGTGGTTGCCCAGCTGCTGGCTGGCATCGGGACCGTGCCCATCCAGCCGTTCGGGATCTCCTACGTGGACGACTTCTCAGAGCCCACCAATTCACCTCTGTACATCGGTGAGGCCCAGCTGGGGAGGCCGTGGGGTGCTGAGGCCCGGGTCCTTCCAGAGCCTGTGCTTGGGCAGGGTGACCGCACAGAAGCCCCTGTGGAGCAGATGGCCAGTGACCATCTGGATACCCAGAGCTTTCCCTCGGAGCAAGCCATGCTGGGCATCCCCAGGGCCCTCGTCCCACACCAGGCAGGATCTGTGGCCCCCGGGCTCCCCCCAGGGCCACCAGCCTTGTTTCCGCAGGGCGCTTTGCCCACTCACACCCCAGGCTGGTGTTCTTAGCACACTGTGGAGGCCGTCCCCACCCGACTCGCAGGTGTCTCTGGGGTTGGCTGGAGGACGCCGGCCTTGGCTCTGCACGTCTTGGGGTGGTGGGTGGTTCTGGCCTTGGCTGTGAGAGCTGTTAGGGGTGTGGGCTCGCAGGGCCAGGGGACAGGTGGTGCCATCTCAGGAACCTCCCTCGGGCTGAGCGCCGGGGCGCGCCCAACCCCGGCAGCCCTCAGCGTCCTTCCACTCGCTTCCCTTCCAGCCATCTTGTTTGCCATCTCTGTGTTCGGGCCGGCTTTCGGGTACCTGCTGGGCTCTGTCATGCTGCAGGTCTTCGTGGACTACGGCAGGGTCGACACAGGTGAGCGTGCGCCGAGAGCTCCCACCCCACCACAGTGCCTCGAAGCGGCCCCCTCCCGCCCACATGCCAGCCACGCTCCTCCCTCCCTCCGCAAGCCGGGAGCAGGCGTGTGTGCGTGTGTGCATGTGTGTTCGTGTGTTTGCGTGCATGCACCTCTCTGCAGGGCCGCGCTGGGTGCTGTGGGGAACAGCCGAGGAGGCACACGCACTTCCTGCGCTCAACAGTTCCCTGTGGGGCACATGAGGCCCAGGCCGGAGCCTGGGTGCTGCACCGCAGTTGCCCGTCATGGTGGCACTGAAAATCATCCTAGGAGGGACCAGATGGTGTAATGGTTACGTCTCTGGGCTCCCACATAGTTGACTGCGGTTCAAGTCCTGGACCCAGCAGCTTAAAACTCACGCTGAGCACGTGTGCATGCATGCCAAAAGTCCCGAGAGGAGACTGGAGGAGAAGGGATTGCGGTATGGCGATGCCTCCCAGGAGGTGATTTCTCACTTTCTCTCTTTCTGTCTCTCTCTCTCTCTCTGTGTCTCTCTGGCGAGTACATGTGCCCCATAGCAACAATTTCTCTTTAAATAAATAATAATAATAATATTCCTGGGGCCAGTACCAAGGCCTTGTGATGAAAGGGGCTAGATCACACAGGGTGAGCTATAGTTTGAATCCCGACTCTGGGGTGTGTGCACGTGTGCTCAAAGTCCCCACGGGGTGGAGAAATGAAGAAGGAATTGGGTCGCAACCACAGAGTGCATGCACCCTCTGGCACTAAAAAAAATACCAAATAAATAAATAAAATTAAAATCATCCTATAATCAGGGGACCAGCAGGTGGCATGGTGATTAAGATGCTGGACACTCCCACATGGCTGACCACGGTTTGAATCCCAGACCAGGCAGCTTGCTCTCTCACTCCCCTCCCACTGTCTGGACAAATTAAAATAAATGAATTAATAAAACTAAATAAATATTTTTTAAAAAAATTTTCCAAAAAATAATCCTATAATCCTTTGATTCTAAGATGTTACTGATTGCTTAAAAAACATTTAATTAGAGCCCTTCAGGAAAAACAGAAACACTACGTAAAGCACACCCATCTCGGGGGAGGGCCTGCCGATGCTTCTCGCCTGGTCCCGGCTCTGCCTCTTTCCAGCTGAATGATTTGAGGAAGTCACTTTGTATTTCTTGCCTCTGTTTTGTCATCTGTAACATAGGATAATGACAGAAAAAAATACAGCTGTTGTAAAGTTCAGGAAGACGTTTGTAGATGTGAGCGCACCATCTTCCAGACATCACATGAGTTCGATCACTGTGTGTCTTAGAATGGGAAAATACAGTCCGTGGACTCAGATAAAAATACCGAGCAACCATTCAGAGAGCCAGCCCTGGGGGAACCCAGCGAGGACTTGTTGCCTTTGCGAGCAGGTCCTATACCACTCAGCCCCCCCTTTCCTTAGGTTTTTGCCAGAGGGCACATGTGCTTGCCAGAGAGTGAGATGCAGGGCGATGGAGAGAGGGAAAGTGAGAAATCACCCGCCAGGGAGGATGGCCAATCTACAACCCCTTCTCTTCCATTCTCCTCTTGGGACTTTGGGCATTCACATACATGCACTTGGCATGATTTTCCAAGCCACCAGGTCCGGGGCTCAAACAGTGGTTGGCCATGTGGAACTCCACTGCCTTAACCATCTTGCCACCTGCTGGCCCAAACACTCTTGCTAAGACAATCAGGAGGGCCACGATGTTCTACACAGAGCCATGACAGGTGGGGTTTCTGCAGGTAGTGGTGGGAGGGACGGTCTTCCCAGGTGGAAGACGCTACCTGAAGACAGTCAAGGGTGGGGAAAATCGTGGGGAGTATGCCACCAGTATGTGACGTTCTCGTCCATCAGAACATGTGTGTCCCGTTCAGCAAAGGCAGGACCAAGCCAGGGACGGTCTTCCCAGGGGGAAGACGCTACCTGAAGACAGTCAAGGGTGGGGAAAATCGTGGGGAGTATGCCACCAGTATGTGACGTTCTCGTCCATCAGAACATGTGTGTCCCGTTCAGCAAAGGCAGGACCAAGCCAGACCCTCAGGAAGAAAATGTCCCACCATTGCTGGCACACCGGTCAGGGCCCGCCTGTCTCACAAGGCACTGGGCGGTGCTAAAGCCCTCCGTGTTGCTGTGTTTAGACTCCTGACCCCAGGACTGCCAGACCACAGTGTCACATGCCTGTACTTCAGATGAAAGTAGAAAGCCGGGGGAGTTTTCTGCTTCAGGATCAAGCCATCTTTGCTCTTTGGCTGATACTGCCTGATTGGTTCCTGGCTCTTGGTTGCTCACAGAGACTGGCTGAGCTCCCAGTCCACCCAGGATGGTGTCCGGGGGTTCTCGTCATTGTCTGAGGACTGGTCTGCTATCTCTCCCTCCCTCTGCTCCCATGTGGTTTCTCTACACTGAGAGACACGAGGAGAGACCTTCCTATGTGTGTGGGAGAACTGCCAGGAGAAAACCCCTTAGAGATACGGATCGTTGTTTCCTCAGGCTCCTAAGGGTTATGGAGCCTCCTTTCTCAGGGATCAACAAAGCTGGAAAGCAGTCAAGTTCAGTGTTTAAGAGTGCAGGCTTGGGGCACCGTGGCGTAGTGGTAAGAAACAGGACACACACGGGACAGGTCCTGAGTTCGCGTCCCAGGCCCTCCCTGGTGTGCATGATGCAGGCTGACTGAGAATGGGGGTGCACTGTGGTGTGAGGACCCTTTGGAGGAAGAAAGTAATTAATTAATTAATGTTTTAAAAAAGAATGAAGGTTTGGCACCAGGAAAACACAAGTTTGAAATTGACCCATGAGGGGCCAGCAGATGGCATAGTGGCTAAGGAGCTGGACTCCCATGTGGTTGACCATGGTTCGAATCCTGTACATGGTGGCTTGAAATTCACACCTGGCACACATGCACGCATGCACAAAATCCTTGGAGGAGGATGGAGGAGAAGGGATTGCAGTGGGGTCATCTTCCCTGAGTGTGTATGGGGTGATTTCTTACTTTCTATCTGCCTGTCTCTGTCTCTCCAGTAAGTGCATGCACCCTATAGCAAAAATATCTAAAAATTTTTTAAAAAGAAGAGAAAAGAAAGAAAAAGAAAAGAAAAGAAAAGAAAAGAAAAGAAAAACTGACGTGTGAAATGGCACTTACTAGCCTTAGCTTCAGACAAGGGACTTATCTTCTCAAATCCTCGGTTTCCTGACTGATAAGAGGTAGATGGCATAACCCCTGCCTCGTGATTTGCTAGAAAATGCAGCAGAAGAGTGGGCTCTGGCTGTGGTAACCCTCAGGAGGGCCTGCTCCCTTCGCAGTTCTTCCTTCCAAAGGCTGGAAGCAAAGTAACGAGGTGGACTTGCTGCTCCTGTCAGTCTGGGGCTTTTCTGATGTCCTGCCCCTGTGCAGTGGCTTCGGATCTCCGGGAGGACCAGGTGGCTGGAACAGAGAACGTGGTCTTGAGCACATTCTAGCTCATGGCTTGCCTCTCCATCGTGGGAGGAAAGTCAATTAAAGGTCTCCTAATCAGACTGTCTTCCCAGTGAGGTGAAGCCACCGTTCGTTCAGCAACACCGATACCCTTTTGTTTCTCTCCAGCGACGGTGAATCTGAGCCCAGGTGACCCTCGATGGATCGGAGCCTGGTGGCTAGGCCTGCTGATTTCTTCAGCCTCCTTGGTTCTCACCTCCCTCCCCTTTTTCTTCTTTCCTCGAACCATGCCCAGCGGAGTAGAGGTGAGGGTCTAAGAGCCAATGGCTCTGCCTACAGGAGTTTAAGCGGCAGGGGAGGTGGGGAGTGGACAGTGCTGACAGTGCGGCAGGTTGAGCCGACTCTGCAGGACTTCTCAGGGGCTTGGCGAGCTGAGGGAGCCAGGAATTCTCTAGCGTGGTGTGGCCTCAGTGTTCCCTCACCAGGTTACCTCAAGAATTGGGAGGGTTTCAGGAAACATAGTTTGAGAAACACTGAGTTCAGCAAAATTGGGTTAACGAGAGAAGACCAGTAAAGTGCAATTATGTGGCCTGGCAAGGCCCATTTTCCGTTCGGTCGGGCCCATGGACGTCTGAACCTGACAAACTGAACAAGGAGGTTCCCAGCTCTGGGGAGGGTGAGGGCTGGCTCCCGTGAATTTTCCTGGGAAAAGGAGAATGAAGCAAGGAAGAGAAGTCCGAGTGGGACCTTATGTTCAGCTGAGGGACCTAAACTTGCTCCATTCCCAGAAACTCTGGGCACTGCCATGGCCAGGCGGCCGTGTGGGGTGGCGTCTAGGGGAGCGGCAGCGTGGAGGCCCAGGTAGAGGCAGGAATCAGCCGAGGAGCAGGTCAGTGGCCGTCAGAGCGGGGACCACGGTGTGGACAGATGTTCCTAGAGGGGGCGGGGGCTCAGGAGTGAGCTGGACTGCAGGTGGAGGAGACCGAGGTCTGAGGTTTCGAGTGAGAGACAGCTCGCTACCTGGCAGTGAGGTGTGTGAATCAAGGCCCTGCTGTGGGAAGGGGCTGGGTGACAGGGCCTCTGCCCGCTACGGGGAGAGCCTCGGAGGCTGGAGCACACTGCGGTGCCACCGGTCAGGCAACCCTGGTTTGACGGCAGCGCCGCCACTTGTAAGCTCACGAGGGGTCTTCGGCCAGCTCCTCTGCTCCTAAACTTCCTCTTCTTTAAAATACCCAAGGTAATTAGGGTACCTACCTGGGGAGGAGACTGAGACCAGGACAGTGCGTGTGGCACTGGGCACAGTGTCCGGCATGGGGGAGGCCTCAGTGAACGGGAGAGCCGTTCCTGGTGAGGACTTCCCTGGAGGACCCTGGGGGTGCCAGAACTTGGGGCCTTGTAGCCTGTGGTGGATCAGAGCTGGGGACCTCAGGCTGGGACTGGCATGCTCAGAAGAGGTAGGCAAGCTCTCTGAGGTGGTGCGCCCAGAAGGAGCAGGTGAGGGGCTAGGACAGAGCCTCAAGCCAGACTCTGCTTCAGGTCCGGGAGGAAGCAGCAACCCCGAGGAAGAGGCAGGAAGGGAGAAGTGTAAACAGGGCACCCTAGACTGGAGTGTCCCGGAAGCCAGAGGCCCTGCAACCTGAGGGCAGCAGAGGTGCAGCCGTGCCAGGCAGACGGCAGTGGGCGCAGGAGACAGCTTTGGCATCAGGCACGAGAAACTCAAAGAGGAATTAATGTGCCCACCGGTACCGTGGGAGGTGTTGGCACAGGCCTGGTGTCGGCTGAGCTCTGAGCTCACTAAGATGCAGCTGCTATTTGCTTCGAGAGCATTCTCGGGACGCCTCCCGTGCAGACACACCGGGCAGCTCACAGCTGCAGATGCCCAGCCAGGACGGCTCCAGGCCCCGGGGCTGCTAATGGGCACATGGGCTCACCAGACAGACAGCGAAA